CTCTAACTTGGGCCCACTTGGCTAAACCCTTCATGTCTTCCGAGTAATCTTCACTCTCAACCTGTTTTACCCATTCATCCCTTTCTCTAGGTGGGAGTTTTTGAACCAACAAGGTACAAAAAGGTATACTAGCTAATTCATGCCTATAGTCAGGTTTATCTAGTGCAAACACAGCTGCTTGTAATGCATCTGCAAAGCGTTGAAATTCTTCACGATCCTTATCCTTAATGTGGGGCCAAGAACTTATTCTGCGCAAATGGGCATCTATAATTTCTCTGGGGTCCCCATACCTATCAGTGAGTTGTTTCACTGCCCTGTCATAGTCCCCAGGCTCCCCGGTCAGGCATGCAATAACTTCACGTACTCTGTCCGTTAAACAGCTATTCAGATGAGCTAGCTTGATTGCTGGCGTTAGTTTATCGTTTTTATGGACAAGAGAACTAAATATTCCCCAAAAGTACGGCCACTTGTCTGGTTTTCCATCGAATGATGGGATTTCAACACCTTTCAGACCAGTTCTTTTCCCAGACATTAAATCGTTCACAGTTTCAGTATTTTCATCATTATTCTGAGCAGTTGGTGGTGTGATACTAGACTGTTCGTTTGGCAATGGGCTCTCAGACTTTAATAAATATTCAGCAACTTCTCCCAGGACTTCGTTGACATCAAATTCTACCTCTTCTAACCAGCTACCATCAGTCTCAATTGACGCTGGATCAAGCTCTTCCAGTTCTTTCGTAAGGTCACGGGCTTTCGTACGACCTTCTTCTACACCTTTGGCAAACTGTCGGACTTTCGAAACACTTCCATCGCTAGAGATCAGCTCTCTGACACGATTCATATTTCTTGTCACACTAGCTTTCGCGACTTTTCTCTTCGCTCTACACTTGTCAATTTCGCTTACTTCTGGCATTTTCTTTCTTATCCGGCTCGACGAAGGACCAGCTTTGTTATAGACGGCGTGTAATTTTCATTAACCATGAGGTTTTCATATATTTATTTAGTACAACTCAACAGTTTTTACAGAAAAACTCTGTTTCTCAAAACGTTTTGTGTTCGTTCTGTCCTCTGACCTCTCTATTTTCAATGTTACTGGACAAAAGTCTATTACCATAATAAATTAACATGAACTATATAATAAACTGGACAAAGTCCAAAACAAGGGGGTCAGGCATAGGTGGGGCATTTGCACCACCGTTGGGCAATAAATATTAGTCAAATGCCCCACCATTTTGCAATAAATAGTATGTTAATAAACGTCATTCGGTTCAAATTCCCCCAACTCGGGGCCAAACTTGAAAACTTTCCAGTACAGTATATACATTAAATAGTAAAATATATAACAGTAAATCCCAAGATTGGATGTATTGAAACTAGTTATTAGCTAGTTCTTCGCAATTAGATAACACAAAGACAAATTAATAAAGTTATTAACCATTTCTGACACAAATAGTATTTGCAAAATATAGCACATATTTGATATTATAGTCAAATAGTACAGTGTACTGACAGTACTGTATACTATGTATAGATAAAAACTACAGAAAACCTGTACAACACAAAATATGAGTAAAGTTTTCACGCTCCATTTAACTGTTGTGGTATTATACGCATTAAGTATACGTTTCTTAATTGCATTTCCTTTGTAGTATTAGTATATAGCACAGCTCTGAAAAACCAAAACAATATTCGTACACTCCTAAACGGCCGCCATGTTGTAAATAAAAATATACGGTTAAAAATTAATTTTTGCAAAATTGCAACATTCCATTGTATACCAGCAACCAATCATATTCATTTCTGAGATGGATTATCCCAGAGCCTTCGTTTCCTTCCCAAGGATCGCAGGCTCGGGGAACGAGATTGGTTGTCAAGGCAACACAGACGTTCCCAGGCCCCTTACACTGATTTTGAATAACTAGTTGCATTTATCTATGTGTATGTCATTTTTGAATTATTATCATGCAAGTAAACTTTTGACATGCATAGGTATGGTACACATACTTCAGATATTATTATATTGTTATAAGTACCATGAATAAAGCGGTTTTATAAAATTGGCGCAAGAGGCCTGGGATCGACATTGTTACCTTGGCGACAAAATTAAAGTGTTTTTCAATGCGTCTCATCATGTACAATCAGTAGGCAAAATTTCATTTGATTTGGGCCCATAATAACTGAGCTATGCTTCAGGTTAGTATTAATTAAACATACTTACCCAACTATTGACGTCACACATTGTGCTGAATCAGCAACTTATAATTTGCACATTTTTGCATATAACTTCAGAACTAGATGAGATAGAATAGAGCATTAAACGGCCAATCGGCTTATTTTTGCATGCTCTTTCAGTAAAGCAATAAAAAATTTTGTTGCTCATACCTTTAAACATTCATTTCTTTTGAATTTTCTTCATGAATTATAAATGAGTTTTTTAAGGGAGATTCATGAATATTCAACAAATAACTTTTACATTTTGAAGGGCCTCTCTTTTCTGCTTTTTAAAGTACGGTAATTTTGGTTCCACGCTTCCAGGATTCTGTAGTAGGAGTCGTAAAGATTATGCCGCTAGGTACTTCTCAATTCTTCTTCGCTTTTTAGAATCATGTAATAGGGCTTTTTTTTTCGAATAACGTAATCGTAGTTGCGCTTATAACAGCGATTTTTGTCATATATACAAATTTATTGCTATTGTAACATCTTTAGCTAATTTGCAACCAGCGTCGTGATTATTGAAGCTTCAGCTTTACGTTCTTTTTGTCTTTTTTAGGTATTGCAATGAAGCTCCTCCTATTTGCTACCACTCTAGTAATGGCTGCGTATGTTGCAGCTAAACCGGGAAATCAAGGTCCTGCCTTATCCGATGAAGGTCTTGTTAAAAGAGAGGAATGGTCAACGATATCAAAGACAGTCAATGGACAGGAGTTGTTATTTGGCTGTGACAGAAGACACACATTATTAGATGACGGAAAATGCTGGTCTTATTGTGGCTCTTCCTGGGTGGGTATTAAAATTATAAAAACTTGGTTAGCGGTCAGCGGTAAAAAATCAGTAATACTTCATTTTACAATACTATTTGGTGTATACCAAATGTCAAAATTAAAATTTCTTGTTTTCCGTTTAAACCTATCGGGTAACGTAATTTTCACTGCATTGCTCTGGTAAGGGGCAGCATTACTTTTATTGATCGGGCAATGATAAAACCAGAAATGACGCGCGGGCTCTTCCGGGAAGCCGGTAAGTGTAAAGTTCTTTCAAAATTAAGACTAAACAAACATTTCAACATGAGCGGCAGGTGAGTTATTCTGCAGATTTTGACAACTGGTATATAACAGAACACGAATTTGATGAGACATCAGGAAAACAGCGCGTTTTGTGGTCCCTCGATCGCCATTGTTACCTTCGTCTTTGCGGCTAAATGGTGCATAAATAGTTAACAACAAAGGACGAATATATAATGTTTATTCATAATAACAGGAATTATTAAAACGGACTTTAGTTAGTTGAATGACGGGTACCGGATTGACGTATACTGGATAAACGGATAGATTGGTAAATTGGTAAACGGATCGTCGGATAAACGGATAAACGAATAAACGGATAGACGGTTTACACAGATAATATCTTTGTCATATTATTTATACTAATGGGGCATGAATTGAAGTTTTGGTCATTAGCAAAGGCTATAAAGTCGAGATATAGCGATCAAAATCGTTGTAAATTCCAGTTCGTTGTAAATATTCGCAAGTATGTTTCTAAATTTGGATTATTGGCTGTAGAGCTTCAGTACTTCAGTAATCAGCAAACTACTTCCGAAATTGGCTTACCAATTCTCCAATTTGTATTTCCTGACAATTTAGTATCCGCCTATCCGTCTATGCAATAACCGGTACCCAAGTTTTCTACCAAACATTTCGTGACACCGGATGTGTACCAGCAATAAATAGTTTGCATGATTTGTTTTACTCGAAATTATTTAAATCTTGGTATTAATTAATTAAACATAATATGATATATTTCTTCTCGTGCCTAACGCAAGTAAAATTTGCGTGTACCTCATTTGAAAGATTTATAGAAGAAAAAGAGTTATTTTACAACACTTTCCACTTGTATTAATTTTATAAATATTTGATCTGTAACTGATCACGACGGAAAAAAAGGTGGCGTTTTTACGTCGTCTATTCTGTTTTCAAATTTGGGATAGCTCCGACATAATTGTTCAAAAAGGAAATCGAATTTTAGGTTCAGTGACCGGTAAAAAAATTTCAGGCTAATAATTATAGGTCTTATATTACCTTAATCTTTGATTTCTCTCCACAATTTTAAATACTTTTTCGAGAAAAATTAAAAGTTGAAGCAAAAAATGTCTCGTATAACTGAAATATACTTATTTAACTAGATGTCAGACACAGTGAAAACATTTTTAAACCTTTAAATTGTATTTTTATCCAGACGAGCGGAGAGTGGTGCTACACCAAGAGAGCAGATGGTATGACGAAGGGTTGCTGGAATAATAGAAAATGTTATCACTTCGTTGATGAATGTCTTACTGCTTGCACCCTTTGAGATCTTCTCCATGAGCTTCAAGAATTAATGATTAAAAACCGGACCAGTTAAATGACTGGGCTTTGTTAAAATCAGAATTATCAAAATAAAAGGAGAATTGCATTGAAATGACTAATATGATTGATGTTTTTGTGATGGTTGTGGGGTGGAGGGAGGGGGTGTAGAATGGCTTTGCAGTTACAATATTATGTGAGAAAACTAAACTAACAACTTTTCAAGTTTCAAATATTACACAAAACACATGTAGTTCGCAAGGTAAGTTTTATATTATTCATATGCTCCCTTTCATTGTGGTTGTTCGAGCGCTCATGTTACCACCCGTTGATGGCGATATTTTCAACCTTGGTAATAACGGCCAAAGCTTTATGAAACTATATATCATGTGGTTGCTCAATCAGTTTGAAGCATTGAAATGAATATAACTGGAACGCTACCTCCCACCTAAAATTGAAGCCAAACTTTTGAAGGCCAGTCTCATTCTTTTCGCGCAAGCGAAGAGCGCTCGTTCAATCAGTCAATCATGACATATATAAAGATGCGAGACTTGTCTCTTTACCTCCAGACACATTTGTCTGGAACTCAGATTTGGCTTCAAGAAAAAGATGGGCAGTTTATCGGAAGGTATAACGTCCAGTTATATTCATTTTAATTAATGGTTTGCATGGAACATAAAAATAGGTATGCTGAGCGTACATGTGTGCGTTGTGACCAGGGCCACTGAGAGAATTCGCGGGGCCTGGGGCAAATTTTCTCTGGGGGCCCCATGACATCATTATTTTTACGCTAGACCCAAGTCAGTCACCCAACCAGACTTTAGCTAGACTGCATGTGGAGCTACTGTAAGGGGCCCTCAATTTCAAAATTAAATTTAATTAAAGAACTTATTCAATGTTTGGCCCTCGCTTTCACGTCGGGGCCTAATTAAGGTGGGGGCGCGGGGCAATTTGCCCCCTGCCCCCCCTTCGGCGGCCCTGGTTGTGAATGTTATCAGTTATTGCCAGCTTTGGATAACCAGCACAGTTTCTTATTTTCTATAATGTATATCATCTTCATCACACATCCATTCCGGAAACTATGATCGATGTATATCATCGTACAAGTATACATGTCTTTCCTTTGAGCTAACTGTGGCCATTGGTCCCCTCACCATAAATGGTTGACTGTTAATAAGAGTCTACAATTTAAGCAAGAATCGCTGAAATCAGTTTTTATACAAATAGATTTAACCTGCATAAGCATTTGAAAAAGAATCTAACCAGACGTTTTCTTGTTTCTTCATCGCTTAGATTTTTCTCAATCTCTCTCAATTCCTCCAGTGCATGTGTTCGCCTTTTGAGGGTGAAAATCAGAGTAATTATTGTAATTATTTGTTTTGAGCTTTCGACTCGATACTTCGAGTCTTCATCAGAAGGATTGATCTTTTGAATTTTCGCGCAGTTGTTCACGCTGTTGAAGTCTGTGTGACGTCTGATTGGTTGATGGATTTCAGTATGTTGGTTGCCATTGGTTACTATGGAATGCGGATGATTATTGTTGGACCAGGAACTGGTCCCCAATCGCTGCTAATCTTGTTGTTGTTGTTGTTGTTGTTGTTGTTGTTGTTGTTGTTGTTGTTGTTGTTGTTGTTGTTGTTGTTGTTGTTGTTGTTGTTGTTTTTGTCGTTGTTGTTGTCGTTATCGTTGTTGTTGTCGTTGTCGTTGTCGTTGTCGTTGCCGTTGTCGTTGCCGTTGCCGTTGTCGTTGTTAGGGGTCGACGCTCTTTGAAAAAACCCTAAGGCTCCGTCATTACTTGTCCGGTCGGAATGAAACTTGACATAATTATTCCAAGCAATATTCCGCATCGACTGACGGTGTTCGATTTTTCATTTTTGACTTTAGAAGCGAAATACAAGCAATATTGTTGACTGTATTCGTAGCAAATAAATATATACATATCATTAATATTCAGCAAATATATCAGCAAACGCAAATGATAAGAAAAACATTGTCTTCTCTATTGTTCGTTGTGAGCACAATCACAATAGTCTAAAGCTTCTCAAGAATGTGGACGATTAATTATAACGATTAATTATAAGCGTAAAGACTTAAGTTGACTAATTTAACACGCTGGCTTAGTTTAATTTCTCAAAGCGCAGAGGAGTAATGTACTCCTATCTGGCTATCATATAATATTATATATACAGGGTGTCCCAAAAACCCCGAAAACTATTGAAATCACTTATTGTTAAATTTGAATGCCCTACCGTTTAGCTGGACGTAATGATGCGTAAAATATTGACAAGGTGCATGTATTAGAATTTAGTTAGGGTCGCGAACAGTGAAACTACAAACTGAGACATGTCAATTTGTTTTTAGCACAAGCATGCGGTTATGAAACCATGACTAAGCGAAATGAACTGCATTAACCTATACTACAGCAACAATTCAGATAATTTGTTACCTTAACTTAAGTCCTGTTTATATACACGGCACGTACACGACTGTAGCTGCAATATTTTGCAATGGCACGCACGGCACGGCAAAATTTGTTAGGGCAAAAGTTAAATATATTTCAAAAACTCATTAATAATTCAGGAGGAAAACACAAAGAAAAATCATAAGCGTGTCGTGGTTTTATATGTGATAAAATATGATGTTAATTTACATAAACTTTAGCTTTGATTTTCTCGGTTTAGACAAAGTTTATTTTAGAAATTACTTCGCCAATGAACTCGTATAAGATGAGTCGTTTTTGAAGCCATGCATTTAAAGCACTTGTAGTCGTGTTTTATCACATATAAAACACTCCGCTACGCGTCGTGTTTTATATGTGATAAAACACTCCTACGCGTGCTTTAAATAGTACTTAGGCACGGCATGTTTAGTCTTAATATTGTGGGACATTTAACTTATCTATCGAATTCGAGTATATACTTTTGAAAACTGCGCATTTAGTTATCTATGCTTTGTCCAGGTTTACACTCATTTATACACGGCATCACTAGACACATATTTTTGCCCGGATAAGTAATATCTTGCATGACCAAATTAAAGCAAAAACATTTAGCGAACTCAGTCTATGCTGCCATGCAATTTCGAGAATTTGATTAGTTTTACAAGTGTCTAGTTATAGTTGCTTACAAGTCAAAATCTCGAAGGTTTTGAACATTCTAGTTAACGATTTGCACAACGCAGTTCCTGGTCCACTATAGTACGATCGTACTTCAGTTATCATGAGACGGTGTATAGGGAAGGAAGTTAAGTACTATTTAAAGCACGCGTAGGAGTGTTTTATCACATATAAAACACGACGCGTAGCGGAGTGTTTTATATGTGATAAAACACGACTACAAGTGCTTTAAATGGCTTCAAAAACGACTCATCTTATACGAGTTCATTGGCGAAGTAATTTTTAAAATAAACGTTGTCTAAACCGAGAAAATCAAAGCTAAAGTTTATCTAAATTAACATGATTTTTTATCACATATAAAACCACGACACGCTTATGATTTTTCTTTGTGTTTTCCTCCTGAATTATTAACGAGTTTTTGAAGGGTGGGTTAAAGGTTAATGAAGATGAATTAGGAGATTTGTGCGAGTGTTTCAGTTGTAAGTAAATTGTAGGGATGTCAATGTGACGGTTAAATGTTTGTTTGTCTAAACTATGCCACGCTTCTTTAAACTCACGGGCATGTTTGGTCGTTGCTTGTCCTAGGCATCTCGTTTGAGACCAGTCGAATTTATGTCCGTTGTCGTCTGTGTGTTTAGCTGGAAGTGAGTTATGCATGGTCGTGTCTGTTGATTGCGTTCTGCATGGTGTTAGTCTTGTCTGAATTTTTTAGATGTTTGCCCATGCAATGTACTTATCCGGACAGTTTTTGCAAGGGAGGATATAAATGGCGTTATGTTTTTCCGTTATATGTGTCTTGTCTTTGTGTTTAGTGAAGTTGGACCTAAGTTTGCATGTTGTTACCCTTTAGACTTCATTAATAAGGTACTACAACATAAACAACAAGCTAACACAAAAACGAGAATTACACTTCCTTACATACATGCACACTAGATCAGAAATGGCAGCTAGACTCCTCCGACCATTCAACATTGACGCTGCGCACAAAGCAACATGCAAACGTAGTTCCACTTCCCCATGCCAACTTCACTAAAAACAAAGACAAGACACATATAACGGGAAAACATAACGCCATTTATATCTTCCCTTGCAAAAACTGTCCGGATAAGTACATTGGACAAACACCTAGAAAGATTCAGACAAGACTAACAGAACACCAGAACGCAATCAATAGACACGACCATATAGCTCACTTCCAGCTAAACACACAGACGACAACGGACATAAATTCGACTGGTCTCAAACGAGATGCCTAGGACAAGCAACGACCAAACATGCCCGTAAGTTTATCAAAGAAGCGTTGCATAGTTTAGACAAACAAATATTTAACCGTCGCATTGACATCCCTACAATTTACTTACAACTGAAACGCTCGCACAAATCTCCTAATTCATCTTCATTAACCTTTAACCCACCCTCAACTTCCTTCCCTACACCATCTCATGATAACAATAATCACCCGCATTCCATAGTAACCAATGGCAACCAACATATTGAAATCCATCAACCAATCAGACGTTCCCACAGACTTCAACAGCGTCAACAACTGCGCGAAAATTCAAAAGATCAATCCTTCTGATGAAGACTCGAAGTACCGAGTCGAAAGCTCGAAACAAATAATTACAATCCGGAGAACACCGTATAATTTTGTAAAAATTATAATTTATATTATATATATATATATATATATATATATATATATATATATATATATATATATATATATATATATATATATATATATATATATATATACCAAATATGTATTTAGAATTAGAATATTAGATATCATTTATAATTATAATTTAATATTTAGAATATTAGATATACCGAAGTATAGAGCTAATATAGATAAAGATAAAAAAGACCTGGTTTACTTCATAAGATTTATTCACTTATACAAACTTGTTTCGTATGACAAGCAATGCTTGCCACACTCATCAGGTGAATTAGAAAGGTGAATTAATTGCGCGACATTTAAATTCACCTGATGAGTGTGGCAAG